CTTATCAAGAAATTAGTGATTCAATCATACATGTATCACCAGTGGTTAAAGTAAATTATGGCCCTATCATGAATGTCTTAAATGACATTTGAATAATATTCTTTGACTTGAGATTCCAGAAACAAGATGCTTGTGGAATAAACTGCATTACAGTTGAACCACACAGATATAATGTTAATGGTGGATCATAAGTACATGACAACTAGTAAATTTCATGCTAGGTTGGATCTCATGTAATGCATCCAATCCAATCTCATGATTTCTGGCTTTTGGTGCCAGCTCTGGTATTGATAGCTCAGAATGGGCTAGCTACTAGGATCCCTTGTGTGGTTGAGTTTATTTTATGACCTACAGGTGTTCTGCTCACTTTGTAGCTGAAATTACTGGTTCTTCTACTGCCTTTTACATTGGCAAATTCCTTCAATTGTACCTCACAGGAAAAAACAACAACAACAACAAAAAAACCCCAAAACCAAAAACCCATGACTGCTTTACCGCCACCTCCGGCTGCACTCAGTTCTATGTTCTTTTTATTTTCATTTCCATCACACACCCTAAAGGAAACTTTCATGTGGGATTCCTTAAGTCTCCAGGATCTTCTTGGCTTTATAGCTGTAGAAAGGGCAAGCTCCCCTTACTTTCCTCATCACCTGAGCTTCATTGGCCACTGTGGTGTCCTGATTTGGCACACATCTCTTCTGTCTGCTCCAAATCTAGAGCCAGTGAGCTTTGAAATCTTGACTTCTAGATTCCAGTTTTCCTGATTTCCCAAAAGACAGTTGGCAGTAGGGATTGAAACCAGGGGTGCTCTTCCATTGAGCTACAACCCGATTCCCATTTTATGTTCTGTTTTGAGAGAGTCTGTTGCTAAGTTGCATAGGCTGCCTCGATGCTCCTTCCTCAGCCTACTGAGTAACTGGGATTACCAGGTGTGCTACCTGGGCCCGGCTCTGTGAGTAACCTCAGGAGGCCATCCATTTATACAACTCCACTGTACATTGAAAGCTATATGGAAGCTGGGCATGGTGGCGCATGTCTGTGATCTCAGCACTCTGGGAGCCCAAGGAAGAGGATTGCAAGTTTGACTCCAACCTGAACAACCTTCAGCTTGGCAAGACCTTGTCTCTCAAATAAAAAAAAAGGGGCTAGGGGATGTGACTAAATTTCCAGTACTACCAAAAAAAAAATCTAGTGTTGGTATGAACTTAGTGAGTGAGATCTAAGTATTCAAGGTCTAGGTCTTCTGCACAGAAGTCACAAATTAGACACATCTTTAAAAAGAAAAGAAACTAAATTTCCCCCTAAGAAGTTAAATTCTAGAATAGCCATTATGAAAGAAAATATGGAGGTTCCCCAAGGGAAGGAATCGGTGTATCAAATAAATAGCTTTGCTGCTATGTTTACTGTAGCACTATTCACAATAGCCAAGATAGGGAATTAGTCTAGGTGCCCATCAATGGATCTGTAGGGAAAATAAGGTACATACACCCAGTATATGTATGGGATATTATTTGTTCGTGATGATAAGTAAGGATGAGACTGGATGACAGAGTATTAGTGAAATAAGCCAGGCACAAAAAGAAATATAGTGCATGTTCTTCCATGTGGAAAATAAGTTCAACTCATAGAGGTAGAGAGTAGAACAAGGATTACCAGAGGCTGGGATGGTAGGATAGGAGGATAGAGAAGTTGGTAATAGCATATAAAAATATGTTAGGAGAAATAAGGTCTAATGTTGTATAAGTACAGTAGGATGACATTAATAACTTACTGTACATTTCAAAATAGAATAGATTTTGAGAATGTTTCTGATGATACATGCATGGAGATGACAGATAATATGGGTTACCCCATCTGATCATTACACATTGTGTACATGTATTTTGTTTCTCAACGTGTACAATTATTATGTGTCGGGTTTTTAAAAGTTTACTTCTAAGACACCTCTTTATTATTTACTATAAAAGAAATAATAAAGTTAGGAAAGTGAAGGTTCCTCTCACTACCTAGGGAAGATTAATAATGTTTTGTATCTATGTTTTCCTCTTTTATATATATATGCTACTCTTTAAAAAATGTGGATACACTCTACTAATTTTTTTATTAAAATGTTATTATGCTAGTATGTAAGGATCATTATCCTGTTTTTAAATGGCTACACAGAAGCACTTTCCTTGTTCACTAGTGAAAGTAATTTATTCATTTCTGTTTATTCACTGTCTCAATAACTTTGTGGAATATTTTTATAGCCAAAAACTTGTAGGTGGGTATGATAGTTTGCTTAAATCCTTAGAAGTGACTCTGAGATTGAAAGCATGAACATTTTAAATTGTTATATATCACCAAATCATCCTTTAGAAAGTTTATATTTTTACTAGCATTATATATGAGTTTTTGAAGACACTGAACTCTTAAGCATAATACTTCCATGGACAGGAAAATGTACCAAATAACAGTGCCCACGTGGATTTGCCCCAATTATAAATTCTGTCAGTCTTCTGGCCTTCTGTCCTACTTTTAGTTCAGACCTGCTCTGAAGAGCACCCTTCCTGATACTCTTCCCCCTCTTGAAAGAGTGTTTACTTTTCAGGATCCGACTGAATTCTGCTTTGTTTAATCAACCAGTCAGTAGGCATTCTTGTAGCACTGTAGCCTTTTCATTTTCATAGGTGTTGACGTTTTTTTTTGTCTTGGCTCTACCTTCCCTGAGGCCAATCTGTTTGAAAAGGAAGAGGGCAACATGTATAAAGATGCTGCGTGCCATTAAATGTGGGTTCTGGTTGTTTTAACTTCCTAGTGGGTGGGGAGGGGGTGTTATACTTTCTGGGTGTTCTGAGGTCTGCTGTCTCAGAACTCTCTTTGCCAGACAGTCTGGTTAATCAGATAATTTTGTTGAGAAGTTTCTCTTCTGGGATATAAATATATTTAATTAGATTAAGCATTGATCATTAACCAGTAGTGGTATTTATGATACTGCTGTTTCTTAGCTTAAATAACCTTGCAGACAGGGAATTTTAGTTTAGAGCCAGAACAGATGCCTTTTCTTATGTTCTCCCCACCTCTTTTCTCTCTCTGTTACAGAAATTTCACTAATTAGAATCTCCAGAACTGTGGGTTTCAAAACATGATTTGAGAACACTTTGGCTTTCTAGGGACTTTTGTAAGAGATTGTAGTGAAAGTAGTCTAGTTGACCCTGGAACAACAAGAATTTGAGTAAACTAGGTCCATTTACTGTATATGTAGATTTTTGTTTATTTGGGATTTGTGAGAGCTTGGAAAAGCTCTCAGAAAACTACATAGCCTATAAATATGGAAAAAGATTAAAAAGACATGTCATGGATACATAAAATAGTCTTTTATCTTTTAGTACCAAATTATCTATACACAGATCTATTTTTAAAATAAGAGTTTATCAGGACTTAGGCACCCAAATACTTAAAGACCATACACAGCATCATTTGCATTTAAGGGAAAACTAGAATTGCAAACAACCGTAAAGGTGCTATGTTACATTTATCTTAGCCAAAAGGCCAAGAAGGCATTAAGGTGCTATATTGAACCATAACTGCACAAAGTCAGCATAATGCATGCTGTGCCACTATGATACTTTCCTGGCTGACTGTTGCTGCTGTTGATGTGAACTGAAGTTTGTAAAAATCTCCTTAAAATAATGTATGATACTTCTGAAACCCCACTTGAGCAGTTTTTCTCATATATTTGTGTCACAATAAAAAGTGATCTCTCTTGGTTTTGTGGGCTTTTCTTTGCATATACTATGTAGAATACAAAACATATTCAAATTGACTTTATCAGTAAAGCTTCTGTTTCACTAACTTTATCAGTCACTGTTTTTAGATACCATGTACTAGCGAGAGCAGGCAATACACTGTCTTTGTGAGAGGCTTATCTTGCTCAACATGATGGCGGTCAGGTCTGTGCGTCTCACAAATGAAAGAATTTTGTGCTTCCTTGTGAATAGTATTCCATTGTGTAAATATACCACATATTCTATATCCACTCATCTCTTTATGGGCATTTAGGCTGGCTCTATATGTTGGCTATTGTGAATTGTGCTGTGGTAGACATGAATGTGCAGGTATGCTGTCTCCATACCGATTTCCTCAATGGCTGTACTAGTTTACCTTCCCACCAGTAGTACCGAAGGGTCCCCCCATCCTTGCTGCCATTTATTGTTTTGTAGTCTCAATGATAGCATTGTGATGCAGTGGAGGAATGGGGGGTAGCGGGTGGGGAATCCCAGTGTACTGTACTTTGATTTGCATTTTGGAGAGGGGCAGTTGTACTTCATCTTATAAGAACAATGTAACTTTAATTTTTGTATTTCTGTGTGTATTTGAACTTGGTACTTTTGAAATGCATGAAATGTTTAATATTGTCATATAACATTTCATTTAATGATGGACAGCATATAAAATACTGCAAGATTATATGGCTCAATAATGCCATTGCCATCTTAATTTGTGTAAGTGATGTCTCTGCCACAATTGCTCAGAACGTGTACCCCTCCCCAGTGTTAAGTTACATGTGTTTGCATTTAGTTTCATTTCTACTAGATTAATTCTGGCCTTTTTTTTGGTGGTGGTTTTTCAGTACTAGGGATTGAACCTAAGACTTCACATAAGCTAGGCAAGTGCATTATGGCTGTGCTTCATCCCCAGTCCTTTTATTTTTTTGTAGATAGGGTCTTGTTATAGTCTCAAACTTGGTATCCTCTTGCCTCAGCCTCCCCAGTAGCTGGGACTTTGAGCATGTGCCATCGTGCCTAGTTTGGATCTTCTTGAGATACAATATCAGTATTAACAGCCTTTAGTACTATATGAAACAAGTAGGAAAACACTAGTATTTTAAGTGTGCCTTCAGTAGTAGTCACCTCCCTGGCAGTTTGCATTGTTGTATGTGAATGATGGCTTCACATTGTATTAGAGACAGGAGGAAACTTAGGGTTCCTTGAGAAAAGACAGGAGTAAGGGAGTAAGAGATGCTGCTGAGGGAAGGTATGATTAATAGATTAATTCATTTGACTACTTTTTAGCATTTTTTTTTCCATGCTGCAGATGGTGTTACACTCTGTAAATGCACTTGTGATCAAGATAAAGGTCCTTGATCTTCTAAAAATTATGTTCTAGTTAGGGAGAATTAAAATGAGAAGGACCTCAGAAGTACCTGGGGTAGAAGGGACACTTTAAATGATGAGGATTCAGAATGAGGGGCGTGAAAAAGAGAGTGAGACTTTTGTGGAACAGTGTGCCCCCAGGAGACTGAGAATTGCAATGGGAATGTTCACGCGAGGCTTGTAGAAATACGAAAATGGAGAAGTGCTAATTTAGCAGAAGAAACTAAGGCATGACTGCAAAATCAGTACATTTTAGCTATTCATCCAAGGCTTTATAACTCATTGATGAATAAGCTGAGACTGGAATCTTGTTTTACTAGCTCCAGTTCAAATGCATTCATTTTTTCTTTTCTGCATTTTTTTCCACTTGAATGTGTTCAGCGCCCCATTATGCCTTGCCAAGATTGTTTTATTGACATTGTAGTAGGTTGGAGGTTGACAGACATTGAGCACCTTGGGGAGCTGCTTTCAGATGGGTGAGGGAAGCCCATAAGTGTTACCCATAACTTTTTAGACTAGATGGAATTAAGTGTTCTCGAGAATTTATAAATGAAATTTATGCCAGCAGTTTGCTTTCTGTAAACCATATGCTTATACAAATTGAACACACCACCAGCCTAAATTTTTTTATCTTAATACATTTGTAGGTTTCATCAAATAAGGGAAGCTGGAGTTGGTAACTTGGGTTGATTAGATTAGGGGCATGTGGTTAGAATGGTGAGTTGTGGAATTGGTTCTAAGACCTGTGGTATGTTGAGGCTGATGGTATTCATTAGGTGATGCCCTATGTGTCTCTCTGATGACCCATCATTTGGAGAATTCACATTTGTATTTAAGTCACCGTCCAGGCTCATGGCTTTATTTTTGTTGCATTTTCTTGTGAGTGGTTTGAGGCTCTGCCAGCTTCCTCAACCTATCACAATGTAGAGCAGGGGTTGGCCAGATGGTAAATAATTGAGGCTTTGGTGCCATATTATCTCTGTTATAGATCTGCCTGTAAGCACAACAGCAGCCACAGGCACTATGCAGATGTATGTTTTGGCTGTGTTTCAATAAAACTTTATTTGCAAAAACAGGCAGTGAACTGCATCTAGCCCATAAGCCCTGGATTGCTGACCCTGCTTTTGTGAAGTAAGGAATAGGGGACATGTTGAGCAACCCTATAAACTCCTGAAGTACGTTTTTTTTTTGGTCTCTAACATTTGGGTAATTTGGGTAATTTACAGTGAAAGGAGTGTGACCATACAAGCAGTCTACACTTTGACCTTGGTTCACCACAGTTAACAAAATGTGTTTGATATTTTAGTAAGTTATGTCCTTTTGAGGAGGCCTGCCCCCCCACCTTTTTTTTTTTAAATGTAAGAAAAAAATCTTTTATTTCACAAGATCTTACTTTAAAAAAGGGTACTCCCTGTTTTATACTAAAACATTTCAGTTGGAATTTAAACAAGACAAAAGATAATGAGTTATATTCCTTTTTAAACAAGCAAAACTGAAATTAAAGTTAAGGATTTTGATAACTAATCAGAAGACTGTGGTCAGTCAAAGTTGTTGGTTTTTCTTAGCCCTGGACTACTTTATTTGGATATACAATTCCTCCAATGTATTTTCAGTTAAATGATACAGTACCAGGTCAAGAAACAGCATCTTTATGGAAATAAAATATCTTGCTGTTAATAATGAGGGTTACGCAAAAGTAAGGAAATGTCTTTGTGAATTAATGAAAAGTGAGAAGAATTTCAGTATTCATGTGATTAGAACCATTTTTACTCAGTGCTCTTATAAGGAGAAATTGCCATAGACTTCTTACCTAGATAACGTTAGTGGGAAGAGATTTTCACTGTGATTTTGTTTTCTGGAAAACTCTTTGTTTTATCATAAGATTGGTACAATATGTAAATAAATGTTCCTGGCACGATTTTTAGTCCTGGGCTGCAATATGAAATTAATGTAAAAACTTTTCTAATACTTTGTGTGTTCATATTATCTTTGCAGTATTTGTCAGAAAGAAAAATTTATATATATAGTGGATTTTCTGGTCACCAAAATACACACATACTTGTTCCATACTTCTCATTTGATACAAATGAAGATATTCTTTTCCTGCACTTCAAAACCTTGTGTTTTGCTTGTGTCCTGACTCTTGTATTTGTTGCCTTTGACTCTTCTGTGCCTCTCACTGTCCTCTCCTGTTATACTTGGCAGATTTTCTTTTCCTTTTAGCAGCCTCTTCCACTTACTAGCTGCTTTGTCTTGGCATCTCTTATAGGCCCAATTTTGAGTCTGTAAACCTTGGCTCTTTTTTAAAAAATAAAGATCAAATAGATAACAATAAAACACTAGACCATTGTCAGGCCTATAGCGCTCAGGCATATACGGTAGCTGCCATCACTGTTGTTACTGAAAAAAATCTGCATTTTAACCTCTTGACTGGTCCATTCCTCTTCAACTCATGTTTTGCTCATGTGTTTTGTCTCCCACACTTTGGCTCAGACTTGCTTGCCCCTTGAGTTCTGGTACTGTCTCTTTGTCATTGTTCTTGTACCTCTACCTCGGGAAACGTTGCCATCTGCCTTCTAGCCCCATCTTGCAAAGTTCCCATGCAGTCACCACCCTGCAGCTCTATCTCCGTTCTCAGCCCCATGTTCTGGAGTCTGCCTTTCTTTACTTTCCTGTGAGAAAGCAGTCTCCTAATTTTTCTTGTCCTCTTTGATGGTGTGCTTTAAATGTGCTTCTCAGACTTCAAGTCGTCTCGTTAGCCTTCCAATGTCTTTGTTCTTTAAAAGTTTTGCTGTTGGGTTCCTCTCCTCCCCCTTTATCCTCTTAAGTGAGCTCATCTCATTGTAGCTTCCAGTAGCCTTCTATGTGGATGACTATAAAACAGGTATATCTAACCCACCTGTATTTTAACCTTAAGGTTTATAATTTGAGAGGTCAACCTAGGGAGCCACGGTATCTCAGACTCAGCATGTCCTAACCCCAGTTCTTTTCATTGTTCCTTGACGGCTTCTCCAGATTTCCTTTAGCTGCTAATGACAGTGCTATTCTCCAACCCGCAGATTTTGATGTCCCCTTTGCTCATACCTCACCCTCATTCTCCACATTGTGCTAGTTGGACTTCTCAGGTTTATCCTTGTGTGGTTTCTTCCAACATTTTTTGTTTATGTGTATGCACAGAGATATATTTGGAAAAGAAATTCACCAAAATTTTAAATCTTCTATATCTGGATGATGAAGTTTGTACATTGTTTTAACTTTGGTTTTGGTTTTCATAACAGACCTTTTTTACTTATATTCTTGTACATGGTCTGCTGACTTCCTTCTCAGCCCTCCTTGACCTCAGCCTCTGGGACTCCTAGCTCTTTCCTTCACTTAGCTGCCTTTGCTCTTTCTTTGCTTGTTTCCTAATTCATTGGTTCACTGTATCTGTAGTCTTTACTTTCAGGGCTGTGATCTGGTGTTCTTTCCTTAATGAAGCTCTTACCCAGCTGTATATGTTTCTTCCATGAGCCTTCTGGCTTTTCTGACTTTTGGTCTTAACATGTATTTTTGTGTTGAGCTCTTTAATAGGTTGTAATCTCCATGAAGGCAGAAATTGGGTTTTGTCCCTCCCCTTTCAGTTAGAATCTTTCAGTTTTTCCTTGGGAACAAAGCTGCTTTTGCCACTGGCTATGGTTTTGGTGGAATGGTCAACTAAGGTGTCCTACCAACAAGATGCTCTTCTCCTGGAATTTGAACTTTGAGTCGTGAGCTACAAGAACTGACAGTGACTGGTACTGGTTGAGCCCTGCTGAGGCGCTCTGAAGAAGCCACTCATTAGTTCCTGCCTCCCAGATCCCTGGAGCTGCCCTGACCCTGAACTCTTCGAAGCCTGGTTCTCCAGATTTTCCTTCATTCCTGTGAGATACCTTGTATCCTTACTATAAAAAAGGTCTCTATTTTAAGTCAGAATTTTTTTCTGTTGCTTTTACCCAGAGATTCCTACCAGTAGAGCTGTTAGGATTGGAACTAATTGGACTTAATTGTTCTGGTTCTTATACTGACTTTCATGCTTTTTGTTTTTTGTTTTTTCTTCTCTTTAACTTCAAAAATAAAACACAGCCAGAGACTGCTGCTGCTTTGAAACGTACAGTAGAAGCCCTGATGGACAGAGGAGCCGTAGTGCGGAACTTGGAAAACCTGGGTGAACAAGCACTTCCTTACAGGATCTCTGCCCACAGTCAGCAGCACTGGAGAGGCGGGTAAGTTTGTTCATGAAGCATGTGGAAAGTCTTTGATTGGCTCAGATAAGAATATTGATTAATCTTAGGAATTACCATAATTTCACCTTGAGATCCCCGTTGTTCCAGATGTCTTTAGGTGCGTGCTGGTACTGTAGCAGTGTTGTGCTGTGAATAGGGTGTAGTTATCCTGGCCTTTGGTAGACAGTAAGCGGAACAGAAACAGCCTGTGCTAACGAGCAACAGGCTTATGAGCTCTTGATTGAAGGAAGCTTTTCTTGTCAATTTGATCATATTTTCCCTCTGGCATTGCTTTGCCTTTAAGACAGCTCAGTGAACAGTTGTGTTGTCTGCATACTCAGGGCTTCTTTGTAATTACATAGGTTGCAGATAAAGTATATTTCTTTAGACCAGGTACATAATCGGAGTCTAATCCACAAGAGAAAAAATTGGCTTTACTGTTCCAACTAATGATCACAGTTTTACTGTGCTGGCCTTTTTTTCCTCCTGGGGTATAACAACTTCCTCAAACATGTCAAGAGTGTGATTCTTTAATAACTATCTCTGTAATAATTCTCTGAAAACAGTTTATAGATTTTGTTTGAAGCTTCTCTGAGCCTTAATGGTGTCAGTTTTACATCCATAATCTCTGGCACGAAGGAAGCATCTTCTCACATTGTGATGGGTTTCCAAGAAGTAAATGTTAGGGAAGATGGGAATCAGTTCTTGATACAGTGGGAAAAGTCCAGAGGTAGAAGACTCTTCTCCCCTGGTACTCTGCAGCTCTGTGTGCCCTTCAGCAAGTAACCTAGTGTCTTTCAGCTTCCTTGAGCTTGAACTGAGTCAGTCCATTCTCCTGTCCATTTGTCATGAGAGCAAGTAAGAAAATCTCTGCAGGCGTGCTCTGTGGGCAGAATATTGCTTAGCCTTGTGAATCTCCTGGTCACAAGCAGTTAGAACTCATGTGATTAGATCAGCGTGGAGTCACACCTCACACTGAGGCTTTGTAGTGCATTTAAACTATCTCCTGAGATGTGGCACATACTACAGACCTCCTCCTTTGATTGCTTTACTTTGTTTTGTGCTAATGTTCAGCTTCTTGAGAGTACGTCTGAAAAAGAGTGCCTGAGCATTGCTAGGCAACAGGAAATGCACAGTGGCTGGGCCTCTTTTACAATCATAATAATGAGAGAGGGAGATTGAGGTGGAGATGTGTATGAAACCCACCTACCTACCTGCTTGCTTGCTTTCTTCCTTCCATTTTTCTTTCCTTCTCTTTCCTGCCTTTTCTTTAACTTAACAAAAGGGATGTGGCTTTAAGAGCAAGCTTTTTCTTTAAAAAGAGAATATAAGCCAAGTGCTGTGGTACCAGTAGTCTCAAGTATTTGGGAGGCTGAAATGGGTGGTAGGATCACTTGAGTCTGAATTTGAGGTCAGGTTAGACAACATCACAAGATCCCATCTCCCTCAAAAAGGAACATATAAAATGTGGCCAAGAAGTACTAGCAGGTCTTGGGTGGGAGCCCCTGAACAAGGAGAACAGTTTCTTTATCCATGTGTGCTTGCAGCGTGTCCAGTAGGTATCTGCTTTCTGCCCTTTATCCAGGTACAGGAGTTGACTTTGTTGAGAGCTGTGGGTCTAGCATCCTAGAATGTGCACATTTTAAGGGGGAAGGTTTGCTAGAGATCAAACCCAGGGCCAGCAAGTTCTTTAGTACTGATACATCCTAGTCCAGTGGTGGTGAACCTATGGCACGTGTGCCACAGCAGGCTGTATCAGTAGAAGCTCTAAAAGGTTCACCATCACTGTCCTAATCCTTTGAATGTGCATTTCTAACAAGTGTTTGTGGAATGCTGATGCCTGTGTGTAGGGCTGGTACGCAGTGGGGATAGGGATGAGGCTGTGTGTGGTTTTTCTTTATAAATAGAATAAATTCAGGTCCTGGAGAAGCACCTTGAATTGGGTTCCTTATGAGGTGTGTATGCCTGACCAAGGACTGTCATTGTTGCTGAATTCATTGGCATTTAAAGATTTCTGGTTATTTTATTTTAGACTTCTCAGCAAAGTAGGGGCAACATTTCTACAGTGAATTACAGAAGAGAGGTGGCCAGCCACTGCAGGGGAGGTTTGGATTTTAGGTTTTGTTACCTGGATGCATCAACATCTGGTGTTTATTTAAGGAACTGAGTGCTTTTCATAGTGTAATCAGTTAGATGTGGGAAGCCTTGCATGATTGTATCTCTTCTAGAGAGTCACACACTACCATGTAAATGGTGAGGAGCACTTTAGTAAGATCTCTGTAGTTAGATCAGTTTTATTTGACTATGCTACCTTTTGTTTTGTAGCACTGTGAATATACTCCACAGTACTTTTGGTAAATGAACATAAAAGGGCTAGTGTATTTGGAATTACCTGAATAAAGATTTGGAATTGGGTGTTGTGTCCAGGTGTCTGCAGTGGATAGCTCAAGGTTAGTGGATGTTTTCTTGCCTTCAGCCTGTCCCCTATTAGTCATTAACCTCAGCCACATTTATACCAGGCTTTTTCTTCATTTGACAGATTCTTTATGTGCACTGTATACAGCCAAGATGGCACTGCAGACATTCATTGTGTGGATTCTTGTATACCAGGGTGTGCTACATGCTGGCAAGGCTCACTTTTTAAAAGCGGTTTCCCTAGTGGTATCCATAGGTCTCGGTATGGTTTCTGTGGTTTGTTATGGCACGGCTCCTAATATCAAGGAGTTTTCAGTTTGAGGACTTGGTTGCATAGTGTTAACCTAGGCACTAGCAAAGAAGGTGTGTTTGAAGGTGCCCCGAGCAGCAGTAGTATTAGCTTTCTTGTTGCTGGTTTTCAGTATCCAACATGCACAATTTATAGAGGAGAGGTTTAATTTGTCTCACAATTTCAGGGGATTCAGTACATGGAGAGCCAGCTCCAAGGTGGAAACATGGTGGAAGTCTGTGATGTGGCTGGGAAGCAGAACAGGGGAACAAAGCCAGAGAGGAAGAGGCTGAGGGCCAAAGACCCAAATGCCACTCCATTACTCACCCAGAAGTGTGTTCCATTAATCTTCTCCATGAATCCCAAGCCAGTCAAGATTATATCCTACCCTAACTGCCACACTAGTCCACGCTGCTAACCACATGTCTGTGCCATAGTTGTTTCCCAGGATATTGAGTAATTGATGTCCTCATTCTCCCATCCCTGTCTCTTCCCTTAATGGCAGTTCCCTGATACACGCAGGCCAGGGGGGCTGAAGGGGAAAGGATAGGGAGAGAAGTACTTGAGCAGGAGAGATGTTCTGCTTTAAGATTAGTAGGGAAGCCTTCCCAGAGGAAGACGAAATAATTTGGAAGTGGTACCTGGTATTTATTATTATATCAAATCTTTTTTCAGTTTATGCCAACAATAGAAATACAGTCACTATATTCCAAATATTAATTTGGTCTGTCCCCACTTTAGAAACAGGTTACATTCCAGAAATGTATCTGTAAGTCTGTTTCTAACTGTGAACCTGTTTTCCCACTGGAACAAAGCTTGATGTTTAAGTTCTAAACTGGTACACAGAAATTTACTTAACTTAAAATCTTAGTTGATAGAATTGGGTGGACCATTTATATGCAGCTGGGGACCATTTTCAACTTGTTTTTTAAAATGCTGCTGTGTTTCCCCTGGCAGCAGAATGGAGCTTGGGTCTGGCCACCCTTGTGAGGGAAGAGGACAATATACCTTACACACTTGCAACTTTTATTTACACTATTTTTCCCCAAGGTCAATACATTTCAAGTTAGTTTCCAGTTAAGTCATGTGAATTTAGGAACCTAGGGTGGAGTTGCTTCTGCTGGGTTGGCTAGGTCAGTGTGGTTAGGGATTTGGAGCTTCTGGACTGGTTTTGCAGACAGAAGCTTTTAGCCCCATTCACCACCTGTTGCCACCAGGCAGTGTCTGGAAATCACTGGCATCCAGCTCAGACCTGGGGATCTTAGAAGGCCTGGGAACCATTGCTCTTGCTTTGGTCTTCTAGCCTCTTAGTCTTAGTCTCCCCTCTGTACCTTCACATGCTCTCCTTGATGCCGTCATCTCTGTGGAAAAGTCTTACTGTATCCTTCACTGGTTAAAAGGGGAGAATGTCACACACATAGGTTGGAGCAGAGGGAGTAGATGATTCTTTGAAGACTTTCAAGAAGGGTCAGGCATCAGAATGACAGCCCCTGCCCCGCCTTTGCCGGAACACTGCATTGTCTCACAGCAGAGCTGCAGAGGATTTGAGACTCTTTCCACTAGATGGGGCTGGACAGAGAGCAATTTCTGTTGCAGGGGAGAGAGCTATAGAAGAAATGGGTCTACATTTACTTCATCGTTGGGCCTTGTGCACATTGTAATAGGAAGCCTCAGGTGGCTTTTGACTTTGCCAAGTCTGATTTTACTGCCTGAGACTGAGAGCTGACCTCCACATGTCTTTGAATGAGAACTCTAGTAGTGAAGGGGGTTCTTGGCTTTTTTTGCTTTTCCTTTCCCTGTTTTCATCTGCTCTGAAATTTGGATAGGTGCTTATGGCAAAGTTCTGCTGGCCTGTATACAGGATACTCTTCTATTTACGGGTAAGCAGAATGATAAAAATAACTGACTGTTATAGTGAATCAGTGGAATTTTACTGAATCACTCCCCAAATGTATCTGCAGCTTACTCCAAAAGCCTTGGCACCCGCTGTAGAGGAGATTGATTCTCCTCTGTAGTTTTCCCATTAGCTAACATTTCCATGTTCTTGTGCTTTGCTGCCAGCATTAAGTCAAGGCCAGCGTCCTGACCCCATTCTTGTGTGTCGGTGCTCTGCTGCCTGTTTTAAGACAGGGCTGCTGTGTCCTTAGAGGTTTCTTTCAAGTGGCAGTGCCCCAAAATTTGTAAAGATTCTGCATCAGGTTTATTGGTTTTTTAAAGCATTTGAGGCCCAGCAGATATAAAAAGAAATAGCGCTTTTCCATGCAGAAGATGCCTTGGTTTTATGGTGTATAATTCA